TGTTTTATTTAGTTAAACCGCTTGATTAAGGTTTTGATCAGCTAGAATAAATGTGATTATTAATTCTGTTCATAATGTGGTCACAACTATCTCTGTAGCAACTAGTACAAGTGTATAAGTGTCTCAGTCAAGACCTAATATCTTTAATAAACTATGAAAAGAACAGGGAACATGAATGCTGTTAGGGAACTGACTAAATATAGCAGTTATTCAGTACCACATTTCAGCTTGACAATAACGCACATTAAAACACAAGTCCATATTTTGAATGAATTACTTTTACATTTAACTTTAGAGTATCTCGAATCCATTTCTCCAATATACAGTTGGTATAACTAACAAATGCAACAAAAAGAAAAATTAATAATCTCCAGCTGATCAAACTCATGACCTGGTAAAATACATGGGACATTACACTTGTTGGTTGGGTTCACTTAAACTGGACCATATCTGGTTCATCAGGGGAAAAAAAAGCTTCACTGATCCGTTTCAAAACATGTAAACTGACTTATATGTTCACTTCTTTGGTGGTTTAAATCCATAGATGTTACAACAAGTGAACTGGAATGAGTCCTATTAAAGTAACCCAAGTGTGAATGTGCCCTATATGATCGTTTGGCCCTGGTGTAACCTTCAAGCAAAAATCTTCACATACAGTCGACCTTTGGACATGATGTGAAGGGACTCTCAGCACCAACAGAACAGCAGTTAAGAGTTTTCATACTTCATAAGATGCAGGAACCATGCCAGGTTAGGTAGTAAGAACAAGAACCTTCGACTTGGGCCTTAATACTTCATATGAAGGGCTGCAGCAGGGGTTAAAGCAAAAAAAAAAGATTTGACTGAAAATTTTCTCATGGAAATATAATGAATTACAGATCAAACGAATTCTTCAAAGATATACATTTAAACTGGTGTATTTTGATGTGAAATTACAACCAGTGGATCAAGCAACTTGTCAACTCTTTGACAGAATATTAGTGAGAGTAGTTCATCTGCATCATTGGCTTTACTTGAGGCGAGATGAGGCGTTGTCCTTTGGCTCTGTCCTCGTCAAAATATCGCAAAAGGACATTCAAAATTCTGTCCACATTTGTTTGTGGACACTCAATGTTTAAGAAAAAGGTTTCCCTATCAACTTGGTGCTAGTGCACAGCGCAGTTTTATCAACTGCAAATGATTAATGATAATTAAATCTACCAGCGGTAGTGATGGTTCTGAACGACAGGTTATTTTCTGCGATAAAGCCACAGATAGTTTTAGGTCACAGACACAGTCCACCAGAGCAAGCCTAGTCTCAGTTGTCGCTGAATCTGATGCACCAGGTAAAGAAGTGTGGGAAAGTGCACGGACAGCTGCCAAGTGCGCAGTTTTGAGCTGGTGGTGAATCCAAAGCTGTTTTCTCATTACTCCCATATAAAAAAATAATAATAGCGAAGTACGAACAAGCACCGGACACCTTCATCTTTTTGCACCAGGAAGCAACAGAATCCCATCGTCTCCACCTCATCCAGCCATGCCCACCTCCATTTATTTTTCACTGTTATCAACAGCAACTTATACTGCTCCTTCTTCCATAAACAACGATTCATGATTGTGATTGTGCGTGCATGCTAGGCTAGCTTTGATGAATGAATATAAGACCTGCTAACACACACCTTTCTTCAGCGAGTTTCATCCGTTCGCTCTCGTTGATTGGCTCTTTTTATCACGCAGTTTTGCATGCGGATCGCCACCAAGATATTATCAAAAGCTCACCAAGACATGCTTGTCCCCATTCCCAGTCACAGCAAAGTACATATTGTACATTCCGTTAAATAAAAAAGCATTGCGTTTGGTAAACGTTAATTATGTCCTACCTTTCCTCTGATAACGCGCCCAGTTTACCGGTCCGCGGGCTGCTGGCTGTTATTGCTCCGTTCGGGATTACATTTTCCTTGTCCTCTTCTCCTTTTCAAAAGCTCCGTGCACTTTTCAGAAACTTTCACCTCCGTGTTACCATCGCTAACTTGGCTACGTCCCATTGCCTTGAATCATTTACGGAGCGCTCATGTAGCTAGCCACGGCACGTTCAAGGCCCACTCGTGATTATATTACTTTTTATTCCTATATACATATAAATACAATTATATTCAAATTATTAATATATATCTAGATATATACAACAGATTCACACGTATTACTATATATTTTGTTATAATTAACCATTTCATTGTGTGTATTATATTATTATTATATATTTTGTTTTTTTTTTCAGACCAATTTCATTTGACGGAAATCCGTCACTTAGACGGAACTCTTTAATCCCTGCGCTATACACATGCAATCCTTTCATACAATTGGTAGAACACACTTGAACCTTTTTCAAATGACAGCAATCATTATTTATTTATATATATATTAAAAAAAAAAAAAAAAAAAAGTGATGTTTTTTTTTTTTTTTTTCTCACGCCGGATTTCCGGCACGGTGCCGGAAAACTTTAAGCCCTGGGCTGCAGCCAAACCCGACACAAAAGCCCTTTTTTAAAACGTATGTTCCAGACCCAGGTTATGCTTTCTTCAAGAGGGGTACATGGATCTATTACCACCACAGGGAGAAAGACAAATTAAAGTAATTATTTCTTCCCAAATTGTGACTTGATCTTGTGATAACCCGTTGAATTCACATAATATAAAGTTGTCTTCCCTCCATAAAACTTTACCCTATTTCACACAATTTATAATCCCAAACTGGACTTGCCCTATATCCTGCTGTGATGTGCCGAAAGCTAACTCCTCTAAGCAGTGATCAATGCCCTGTTCTCTTTCCCCCCTGGAGAAGACGCATGTGTCAAACTTTCAAAACTGCTGTAAAACAAAGCGGGGAAACGCCAGAGGAACAGAACTGCCACCTGCCGTGCACCGTCCACAAGTTCATAAGACGAATGAGTTCACCGGGCCGAGGGTAGTTTAAGTCCCAGCACTGCAAGTTTAACAATACACACAGACTGCACCGGAGAGACTGAACAAGCTGGAGGAAGAAAGAAAGAAAGGCTTGAGAAAATACATCATTCCAATTTGTAGAGTTGATTCAAGGACATATACACATCTGCTAATGTGTCATATCTCATTCATCCATTAAATCCACCATCCTTTGCAGAGACGCTTTCCAATCCATACACACTTCATCCAGCTCATCTGGAGGTATCCCGAGGCATTCCCAAATGTTATTTGTATCGCCCAAAATCACAACAACAGTTGCCTCGAGGGGCCTCACAGAATTGCCAACTCCCAACGGCAAGCTGGAGACTAGTCCTCAGGTCCAGGGTGTCGACTCGCATCCTTACATTCAGGCCAGCTTAGAGACATAGCCCCTCCAGCGTGTCCTGGGTCTGCTCTGGGAGGCGTCTAGGAGGACTCCGAAACAGATGCCTGAGCTACTTCAACCGGCTCCTCTCGATGTGGGGAAGCAGTGGCCCTACACCAAGTTTCTTCAATGTGATCTGATCCAAGAAAATCCATTTCAAGCACTCGAATCATTCACCTTTCATCACCAACAGCTCATGGTCATAGGTGAGGGTTGGAACATCTTCGACTCAGTCTGTCAATCTCACACTCCATCCTCCACTCACCCTTGAACTTAACCAGATGTTATTCAATCACACTAGGTAAGCTTAAGGTTCTTGATCTATTCATCAAATTATCCCCTGTTAATCTAGAAAATATGACATTATTTTCAAAAGACGCATTTGGTACAACTATAACAATATAAAACATTCAAAGATTACATTTGATGTGAGTTAAAAGTCCAGGCTGGTTAAAAGCCTTTGTGTTCAATATTAGTCCGACGCTATCCAAAAATGTGAAAACTACTTAATTCAAATCCAATTTTTACAGTTCACTATGAGCCGAGCCTCTGATGTGTAGCAGTGAATATGGCAATGTTTACAGGTCTTCTCATGTTGATTTCTTGTCACAACATCTGCTTCAGAACTCAAATGGCTCTTAACTTTTTTTTTCCCGTACATCAGAAATCTCAACACACATAAGATGATTTCATAAGCATTTCTTGGATGTTAAATTGTGTGAACATAGTCACACTAAAGTCAACAGGCTGTTTACTCCTTCAACCCTGAGTGAATTACAAGCTCAGGGCAGTGCGGGGCGAAAGCATTATGAATTTAACACACTTTGAAGTATTTACCAAGCCAACTGCAGTGCCAGCCCAGAGTTCTCTGCGGCACCATTTTCTCGGAAACACTGACGTTGATCCCAGCGTTTTTATGATACAACTGCCCTCACTGAAAAAACCTGTATGTCACTAGCGAACAAAACAAGTTGCCCAGTCACGTCGGGAGAAGCTAACGGCGTTCCTGCATTAGAACCGATGAGTACAAGCAAAACATGATGGATGCCATGTTAGCGCTGTGTTTATCTCTCAAAACAGATGTGTATAGCAAAGTAGCACAAGCGACGGTGAAGTAGCCTCATGGGGAGATGTGTTGGGGAGATTCTGAAAGAAAGCTGTCATTCTGATGGATTGAACTCATCACTATGAATGTATTGTCAGATGAAGATGTCAAGGTCATTAGTCAGGTAAGACATTGTGGATGGAGACATTCTTGGTTTATTTACACAGAGAAGCGTTGCAATGGGAGCTGGTGTTTTGATGAATGGAATCCTTAACAAGCATTTGTGTCAAGAGTCATTTATTCTCTTTCTCATTAATCAGATTAAAGACAGCAGCATTCTAAAACCTTTTTTCAGATTTTGCGCACCACGTGTTTGGGGAGGTTTTTATATAGCACTTCTTGTGTATTTAGACACAAAAAAGCAGAAAATGGTGTAAAAAGTACAGTTAAATAGAGTTGCTTTAAACATGAATAAACAATATTAGGCACTGTCTGCTTTTCCTCTGAGGTTGTGTGACCCCACTTTAGAAATACATAACAAGAAGGGTGTACCCAGAAGAACAACAGTTTGTGCAAACTTCTCATGGTATAGTGAGTGTAACACGTTACCTTGGCAATGGTCTCATGGAACTTGAAGAGAGGGTCGAGAGTTTGAGGGGAGTCCACGGAGAACTGTGCTTCTGAGAGAAAACTGGAGGCCTGGAAAATGGAGTTATGTGCATGTTATTTTTTAAAAACAGCTGTAATTGAAAAATATAAATATGAAGCTTTCAGAAAAACAACAACAAGGACAAAGTATTTTTTAATGTTTTTGATTATTTTGAATCCATCACCAGGGGAAAAGGAAGGGGGCTCTGTGAGGGCATGTGTTTCTCTGAGCAGAAGAGAGAGGGAGACCACAGAACACCAGGTGCACACACAAACAAAGGTGGGTGAAAATATGTGTTTATATTTTGTGACGCAATTAAAAAATTGCTGCAGCAGATTAGCAAGATTCTTTTCCCAGTTTGTTTATTTGATTAAAACGGAGAAAGGGTAAACTGATGCGGTTACAGGGATTTTAACAGATTATATTTGACTGTATAAAGTACGTTTTGCGACAATTTAAAAGATTATATGCAAAAGACAAATATAACAAACTAACATTCACTCTTGCACTAATGACACTGCTGAAAACCCTACAATATTTTGGAATGAATGTTATATTGCATGTTAAAATATTGTAAATCTACAACTGACAATGTAAATGAATGTACTATGTAACGCAATCAAACAAAACTAAAATGTGCAAATAGTGCATACACATCTGGCTACCAATTTTAACTCAATCCATATAATCTCTGCATCAAGAAGAAAGTGGCAGAACTCCAACTGAATGATTGCAATATAGATTCTTTTCATTTCTCTGAACTACCGAGAGCTTTTGTACAGTTTTAATTGTCTTTACAAACAGTGCACACACAACAAAAATCGTCCAATCAGCATTCAACTCACAGCCTCTGCACAATGCTAATTTAAACCAACAACCCAATCGCTTCAGCGTTATCCTTCCAAACCTAGGCAAATGTATGTTAGCTGTAAAATATTCTACAGCCTTTTTAACGTTGGATATAGAGGCCTTAAAGTTGGTTTGATGACAGCGGATCCTGCTGACGGAGCTGGAGATGGAGCCTGGTAAAGACGTAGAATACAATATCACACACTATCGAGCCGGTTATATCTCATCTGCACTGGGGCTGGGGCCTCATTTAAAATGGTAGATTTTCTTGCACCTCTATCATAACTTTTATTTGAATTGTATTTGTGGTCCAAAGAACCAGATAATCTATTATTACATTACCGGTTCTTATTAGTTATTCCAAATGAATTTTATACATAACCTCATGGAAATGTACCAATGTATAGGGGAGTAGTTTAGAGGTGGAGGAGTACATTCACAAGTGCGTCCACATGGTATCATTCTTTAGAAAGTGTTAATATTACTCACACAGGTCGATAAGAAAAAAAAAATATGGAGGAAAAATACAGAACAAAAAATGCTGAAATGTAATTTAGACGTACAAGTGTAAACATTTTAGTAAGACTGTTCCAGATGTTAGGGGCCCTAAATAGGAAGATATAAAGCTAGGATGACCACATTTCAAACCGAATAAAGAAAATGCAATTAAATTGATCTTACTTGTTCCCTTCTCTCAAAAGTGTTTGTAGTGGTTCTAACACAAGTTTTCAGCCTTTTCAGACAATTAAGTGAAAAAGGGTAGATCCCTTTCACTCTGCCAGCAGCACACAGATCTAAGTGTCACAGGGCTCTTAGGTACCCCACCTTTAAAGGCACATTATACACCTAACGGCAGCATGTAGAGATTGAACAGAAGAGGTCCCAGGATCGACCCCTGTGGGACTCCACAGGTCAGGGCCATATGATCTGAGACACAGTTTCCAATCTCCACAAAGTACTTCCTGTCTTCAAGGTAAGACCTAAACCAACTTAGGGCGACGCCAACCCAGTCCTCTAGTCTCTGTAAGAGGATTTCATGGTCGACAGTGTCAAAGGCAGCACTCAGATCTAACAGGATTAGGATTGAGACTTTGCCTGCGTCAGTGTTCAGCCGGATATCATTTGTAACCTTGACGAGAGCAGTCTCAGTGCTGTGGTGGGGTCTAAAGCCGGACTGAAACATATCAAATGAGTTGTTGATTATAAGAAATCTATTTAGCTGTTGGTAGACAACTTTTTCAAGGACTTTCCCCATAAATGGCAGATTTGAGATGGGACGATAGTTGTTAAGTACCGTAGCATCCAGACTGCTCTTTTTTAGCAGGGGCCTGATGACTGCAGTTTTCAGGGCCTTTGGGAATATTCCAGAATGAAGGGACATGTTTACTATCTGTGTGAGTGAAGGTAACAGACTGCTCAGAACAGACTTTAGAAATCTAGTGGGTAGTACATCCAGGCTGCATGTGGAGGAGCTCAAACTGGAGATTATCTCTTGGACAGTTTGATCATTTACAGGTGCAAAGTAAGTTAGCTGGAGTCCGAGTGGACCTTGTTCTCTGCCTCAATCACCGATGCGGCGGCTCGTAGCTGTGGTCGCAAGGTCTCTGGTGCTGGTCCCGGCGGCAACCCCCGAACCCGGTGGTGGACACCGGCAGTAAGGGATGCTGTCAGGCTGAAGAAGGAGTCCTATCGAGCCATGATGGTTCAGGGGACTCCTGAGGCAGCTGTCCAGTACCGGCAGGCCAAGCGTGCCACGGCCCGGGCTGTTGCAGAGGCAAAAACCCGGGACTGGGAGGAGTTCGGAGAGTCCATGGAGCATGACTATCGGTCGGCCTCGAAGAGATTCTGGCAAACCATCCGGCGCCTCAGGAGGGGGAAGCAGTTCTTTGCCAACACCATGTGGAGAGCTGCTGACCTTGACTGGGGATATTGTCGGGCGGTGGAAGGAATACTTCGAGGTTCTCCTCAATCCCCCCGTCATGTCCTCCGTTACAGAGGCTGAGGATGTTGGGGCGGATACATCCATCTCCCTGGCTGAGGTCACCAAGGTGGTTGGCAGCCTCCATGGTGGCAAGGCTCCGGGTGTGGATGAGATCCGTCCTGACTATCTAAAGTCTCTGGATGTTGTGGGACTGTCTTGGCTGACACGTCTCTGCAACATCGCGTGGCGATTGGGGGCGGTGCCAATGGAGTGGCAGACCGGGGTGGTGGTCCCTCTCTACAAGAAAGGGGACGGGAGGGTGTGTTCCAATTATCGTGGGATCACACTCCTCAGCCTCCCCGGTAAGGTCTACTCCAAGGTACTGGAGAGGAGGCAACGGCCGATGGCCGAATCTCGGATTCAGGAGGAGCAGTGTGGTTTTCGTCCTGGTTGCGGAACACTGGACCAGCTCTATACTCTCCATCGGATACTCGAGGGTTCATGGGAGTTCGCCCAACCTGTCCACATGTGCTTTGTGGATTTGGAGAAGGCGTTCGACTGTGTTCCCCGGGGTGTCCTTTGGGGGGTTCTCCGGGAGTACGGGGTCGGGGGCCTTCTGCTGAGGGCCATCTGATCCCTGTATGACCGGAGCCAGAGCTGTGTTCGCATGGCCGGCAGTAAGTCAGACCTGTTCCCGGTGAATGTTGGCCTCCGACAGGGCTGCCCTTTGTCACCGGTTCTGTTCACTGTATTTATGGACAGAATTTCTAGGCGCAGCCAGGGGTCGGAGGGGGTCCGGTTCGGAGACCACAGGATTTCATCTCTGCTGTTTGCAGACGATGTTGTCCTGTTGGCTCCAACGAACCAGGACCTGCAGCATGCACTGGGGCGGTTTGCAGCCGAGTGTGAAGCGGCTGGGATGAGAATCAGCACCTCCAAATCCGAGGCCATGGTGCTCGACGGGAAAAAGGTGCCTTGCCTTCTACAGGTGGGTGGAGAGGTCCTTCCTCAAGTGGAGGAGTTCAAGTATCTCGGGGTCTTGTTCACGAGTGAGGGAAGAATGGAGCGTGAGATTGACAGGTGGATCGGTGCAGCGTGTGCAGTGATCCGGTCGCTGTATCGGACCGTTGTGGTAAAGAGGGAGCTGAGCCGAAAGGCAAAGCTCTCAATTTACCGGTCAATCTTCGTTCCCTCCCTCACCTATGGTCATGAGCTTTGGGTAATGACCGAAAGAACAAGATCGCGGATACAAGCGGTCGAAATGAGCTTCCTCCGCAGAGTGGCTGGGCGCTCCCTTAGAGATAGGGTGAGGAGCTCAGTCACACGGGAGGAGCTCGGAGTAGAGCCGCTGCTTCTCCACGTTGAGAGGAACCAGTTGAGGTGGCTCGGGCATCTGTTCCGGATGCCCCCTGGACGCCTCCCTGGGGAGGTGTTCCGGGCACGTCCCACTGGGAGGAGGCCCCGGGTAAGACCTAGGACACGCTGGAGGGACTATGTCTCCCAGCTGGCCTGGAAACGCCTTGGGGTCCCCCCGGACGAGCTGGAGGAAGTGTGTGTGGATAGGAAAGTCTGGGCGTCTCTGCTTAGGCTGCTGCCCCCGCGACCCGGCAACGGATAAAGCGGAAGAAAATGGATGGATGGATGGATCACTCTCAGACTGCTTGACATTGCAGCAAACGAATCAGAAACAGAAGGCAGGCCAAATTTCTGGTGATTTCATTGGTTTACAGACGCACACTTGAAACCTTCAGTAGGGGTTAAGCAATAGATAAGCAATAGGGACCAGCTTCTATTCTCTACTCATAGTGTCGAGATCATTTCATAACTCTATTAAATTGAATAGATTTTTTTATAGCCCTAAACACAATTCACCAACAACAGATTCGAGAATCAAACCTTTGCAACACAGGAAATGCATTAAAAAGAAACAAGGATCCATTGGTCCATTGGTCAGTGGGATAGGTAATGTTCATAAATGTTGTCATAAATCACTGTCCTCCTGCATTGGATACGCAAGAACTAGAGGTAAAAACATTAACAGTGATCAAGGCATTCACTCTCAACTGAAGTTGGACCCGTCACCCTCTTTTCAAACTCTTCCACAAGCATTGCCTCCATTGACTTGAATGGACTGAAAAACTTCACACTACAAAGGAAACTTGAGTAATACTTCATTTGAATGACACTGAACAACTATAGAGCGAAGGAAAACAATCCGTATAGATCTGAATTGCTACAAACCATATATGGTCCTTTAGTAGCATAATACATATTTTCAAT